TACAGGTTCCAGATCGGATTCCAGAATGGTTTCCAGGACGGGTTCCTGTACAGGTTCCTAGATCTGATTCCAGAATGGTTTCCAGGACGGGTTCCGGAAGGGGTCTAGGACTGGTTTCTGTAGCTGCTAGCTTCCTAAGTCATCGTTTTAAGGCTTGATGCTAGGGAGGGAATCGAAAACCGGTTCCTGTTCAGAACCCGTTCCGTGTGTTCTAATTCGATGGCACCAGTTGACAGTTCGCTTAATAATTCTATGCAGCACCAGAGCCTAGGGCCTGGGCAGCACGACTTACATCATATTTTTTATGCAAGCTACGCACACAGCATTCAGTAAGCAGGTACGACGTGACCAGGCGTAAGTCTAGAAAGCAAAACAAAAAAATTCCGCCCTAAAGCGATCAAAAGTTTGGCTTCATTTTACAGAAGGGAAAGATGACAACAAGGCGCTTTGCAAAGTGCAAAGTGGTAATTATATCCGCGGGAGGAAATACACCCAACATACAGAAATTCTGCGCACACAACATGGGATACATTTTAACGAATGCTGTGTTTTATGCTTCAGAACAGAAGCTAAAGTTCCGACCAGCATGGAAGGCAACTCTGTTGGTAAATAGCTTTTATATTTCACTGGCTGTCCTTAATGTGGTTCCTACTAAATCGTATGCCATTTGTGGAAATAAACCAATTCCCTACCTCTCTTTGGGGTTATTAAGGGAGTGTGCCTTTCTCGTTAATGCAGCCCTTCATTGCTAGCATGTTTAATTAAAACTACTGGTAGCAGGAATCTTACATGATTCTAGCTATTGCAATGGATGTAACGAAATATGCTACGAAGTTGCTCCACAGTTCAGGTAGCGAGAGAAAGGTGATGCTCGTTTATTTAAATCAGTGGGAGATGAGTTTATTTCCTGGAATTTACAATAATGCTTTTTCATAAAATGGATGCCTTCTCCTTTAGATTTAGATGACTGTGACGAGAATCAATTAGATAATTGATAAGGAATCGAATCGTTTCACAGAATCAATAAACTAAAGTAACAATAAAGCACACTGACTATGCCTTGGCTTCCTGACATGTTGCTCTTCATTGTTTACTTTCCTTATTTCTGTTGCTAACCCAGCGTGATGATGTCACCAGACACACAGCAGCAGGGGGACAGAGACCAAACAGCTGCCAGTGAGGGTTAGACCAGAATTTATATATTTTTTATCCCCCCGCCAAATTTTGTTTTTCATTTAGAAGCTCCCTGCGATAGATGCCGACCCGTCCATGGTGGACCCCGACTCTCGCCCATATATACACCAGCACCCCTCACAACCCCAGCATGGATGAGGATGATGGAACATGGAGGGATGGATTTAGAAGCTCTACCTACAGCCTTGTTAAGATCCAGCAGTGAAATATTTGTATTCTGACCATATTTCAGCTGCTCTTCAGTTTTAATCAGTAGCTTTATATACAATCTGCCTGTGAATGTTTGATCCAACATCTCCACGGAGATGCTCTTATTCACAAGTCAACAACAAAGTGATCACAGTCCCCTGACTCTCTGCTCACTTTTGCTCACACGCAGCACTCTGGGAACTCAAGGCGGGAGGTGTTGAATACGGAATGACATGGCGTGAAAGCGCTTGGGAAAAGTGTTTATCTGACTTTTTGTCCTCTAACACTGAGGAGAAACATTTCTGCTGTTCAAATGGTAAATATTCAACAAAAAGGTGATTCCATACAATCTACTGACTAAAAACCACTGGGGTGACAGTGGCCCCAGATACTGCGGAGACAGTGATTCCAGATACTGGGGTGACAGTGGCCCCAGATACTGCGGAGACAGTGATTCCAGA